ATTTATTTCTATATGGTTGTCCTTACATCAAACTTCACCCCCGCCACCCCCTACTCCTTCACTAGTGCTGTCCCCAATATTTTTTTTTTTTTTTTAATTTTTTTTCAGTTAGTCTTTTAACAAAAAAAGAACAGAGGAAATCTAGTAAATATGAACTTAATAAGAACAACTCTGTATTCATTCTTGATGAGCTCAATTTCATCCTTTGGCCTCGTTTATGATTATGCCTCTTTAACATTCTTGTTCTTAAGCTGTTTATTTGTGTTTATATTCACCTTTTACCTTATCTTTTATTATAAAACAGAATCCCTTTGTAATCTTTAAACCCGTTCCCGGTGTGACCGACATTGGAGGAATGCTGCCAGGCCTAAGTTCTGTAGTAGAAAAGTGGAATACCCTGAGATCAGCGTCTTTAAGTTTGAAGAATTCCTAAGATGAATAGATTTTTTTCTCTACCTTGCTTTATTTAATTTTAGCCTTAAGGGAGAATTTTAGAAAATAATAGAATTATCACCTTTCTAGGGCAGAGATAATATTCTTTGTATTTGTCCTGTTAGACCATTATCATTTAACAACACGCAAAAACAACAGGCATTTATTTATATCTCTCCCACCCCACCCCTATTTTTTTTTTAATTAAAGGCAAGCGGTCAAACTCTGAAAATCAAAAAACTTCATGTCAAAGGGAAAAAGACGAATGAGCCCAAAAAAGGGAAGAAAATACCTTTTACCGGGGATACTGAGGATGAAGATTCTGCATCTACAAGTAGTTCACTCAAAAGAGGAAACAAGGACCTCAAGAAAAGAAAGATGGAGGAAAACACCTCTATTAGCTTGTCCAAACCAGAGAGTTTGGTTTCTGTCAAAAAGCCTAAGAGAGATGACTCCAAGGACCTGGCCCTTTGCAGGTGCGCGAGAGCGAGAGCACCCGTGTCCTGCCAAGACAGCCTGTCACCGCCTTGCAGGGCACCGTGGGGCGGTTTGTAAGCAAATGTATGCTTGCATCTTAAAAAATAATTGAATTTACATCAAGCTTTTACGTGTAAATGGAAAGAGCTGAATATTCCATGAAACTAGACATGCATACCCCGGTAGTAAAAATAGTTCTTTCTAGCGCTCAGGTAATTGATAACAAACCCTGTTTTCTTTAGTACGATCCTGACCGAAATGGAAACTCATGAGGATTCATGGCCTTTTCTACTTCCTGTAAACTTGAAACTTGTTCCTGGTTATAAGAAAGTTATTAAGAAGCCTATGGATTTTTCCACAATTAGAGAGAAACTAAGCAGTGGACAGTAAGTAAATCATTCCTATTCCGTAATTATTTATCAAATGGCTGACATGGACTGGGCTTTGTTGGTTGCCAAGGATACATTAATTAACAGCAAAGACGAAGGCCCTGACTTAGGAGAGCTGTGTTGGGCCTATTTGGCTGGAGTAGAACAACACGGGAGGCAAATCAATTCACATTATGGAAGCAGTTGAAAGGCAGTGTGAGCAACCATCCTTTGACCACAGAGGAGGGGGATACCACAGTCTCCCAAAGAAAGTAGCATGATCTGGAGGTAAAAAAAAAAAAAAAAAGGTGAACAACTTGCAATGTGAATCCGTGGCATATTGACACCACCCCATGTGGATTTAATAAAAACCAACTTTAGAATGCTTTCAAATGATCACAATTCAAAAGTAGAAGAACATGAGAAATTTCAAAAATGGAACTTTTGAATACCATTGAGTCAGTTCTGACTCTTAGCGCCCCTGCCACAGCACAAGTCCCCCTGTGGGTTTGCAACACTGTAACCATTCATGGAAATAGAGAGCCTGGTCTTTCTCCCTCGGAACAGCTGGTGATTTCGAACTGCAGACCTTGTGTAACCCACAGGGCTTCTTATTCTAGGTGATTAGAGAAAAGTGAAAACCTGCATTGATTCAATGTGGAAGAAAATCCCTGTTTGATCCTTCCACAGTGTTTTCCTTGTGATCCAATGCTAAGAGTAAAAAACCCTCCTGGTCACAGTTACTGATTTCTGTTAGACCATCTCAAACTCCCGCCAGAGAGGAGCAGCTGAAGAGAGTGGAATATGGTTGGTTCTGGGTGCGGCCCACTTTGGGGCCACAGGAATGAAGCCGTTCACTTAGAGAACCGGCCCACACCAAGCCATCCCACCTGTGGTTGAGTGGCCAGGTGTGTGCAGAGGCTTTCCCAGTCCCAGCCTTCTCCTGTATTGTTCTATCTATACCAGTTGAGCTTAACCTAAGCTAAGCCCTTCGTTTCGGGCAAAGTCTAAAAAAAAAAAATGTGCTTAACTTACGTGATCCATTTTAAAATTACATTGTTACTGCCATTATTACTCTTCAATGTATTATTTCCTTTTCCTGGCTGTTCTTTGGGTGAAAATGTCTGTGTGCTGTACTGTATATTCAATTTAGAAAAACTGAATAGAACTTGTTCACAGTGATCCGTGTCCCTCTCCTGTGTCTCAAATGATCGACTAGACTCACCTAATGACTACTTTCTCTTCTTCAGAAGAGAACATGCAGTCTTTCAAATGATTATGCCTGCCTCCTTTATTTTTAAAAAAAATGCAGAAAGGACCTGCCCACAATAAGAAAACACTTTAACCTGTTGTATCTAAAATGAACCAAGCAACAAAAGTTACTGTTCAGCCACAGCCAAGTTCGGCAGCACTGCCCTTCTCAGATGTTTCAGGGGGAAACAGCCCACTACAGCGCCTGCCGGGGCCAGGGCAGACTGATGCCGGAAGACTTTTCCTGTGCGTTAACTCTACCTCTTGACTTCCAGTCCCCGAACAGACGATGAATCTAAACATGAGCACCCCCACAGGGGCGTTTAGAATGTAACAAAGCGTTATCCACAAAGCTAGACCACTGGGGTTCCCTCTTGAGAAGGAAGCCCGGAGACGGGCTGAGGGAGGCAGAGTAGAGGCAGTCAGAGAGGAGAGGCAGCCAGTCTGTGGAGCCCTAGGTGAACCCACACAGTGGTTCACACTCAACTCTAACTCCTGGGGTGGAATTAAACCCAAACGAATGAGTTGCAGCCAATCTGCACACACAGCCTTTCATACAGATGTTGAACGAGAAATTGAGAGAAGTGACAGGAGGAATTCCCTCTGCGTCAATGACGTGTCTGCAGTCGATCATGGGCGCATCTCCCTAAGCAGGGGTGGACAACCTTTCTTCTGCCCAGAGGCGTTTGGACATTGACAGCGCCCTTCGTAGGCCACACAAAATTACCAACTGAAAAATTAGCCCATCACGTTTGGTCAAACGTGTAATTAAATCGCCCCAGTATGATGGCCAGAAGGGCTTCTTTTTGGCGAGGCAGGTGCTGTGCGCTGGTATCGGTGTGTTTCAGACATTCCTCACTTACAGGAGGACTCTCTTCAGGGCAGCCGTTCTCAGCCTTCCTCATGCCGCGACCCTTCCATACAGTTCTCGGGTGACCCACAACCATGACATTATTTTCCTTGCTACTTCCTAACTGGCATTTTGCTACTGTTAGGAATCGGGCGGCCCCTGTGAAAGGGTCGTTCGACCCCCAAAGGGGTTGCGACCCACAGGTTGAGAAGCGCTGATCTAGAGTCTGGCCTAGAAATCACTCCTATAGCACAGTCTCCCTAGCATTAAGCACTTACTTTTTCCTATAGTAGTGGACAGCCTGAAGTGAAAAATTGTACGCACAGTGACTTTAAAATCTTCCCCACAGATAGTACACGGTCTCATTCATATGGGATGTCTAGAATAGGTGTATCTTTAGTGACAGAAAGCAGATTGGTTGTCAGGGGGTGAGGGGAAGGAGGCATGGAACCACTTACTGAATACAGAACGCCCCTGTGGGCGATGAAATGGTTTCCGGCTAGATAGAGGTGGTCGTTCCGTGTGCTAAATGCCATGGAATTGACCACTTTAAAATGCTATGCGAATTTCAGTTCAATAAGAAAATAATAATTGCATAAAGATGTGGCACCTGAATGAGGTTGTGGAAGGGCTGACTCAACTCTGAGCTTGGTACAGATAGAGAACTTTCTTTGAGTGTTACACAAAGAAAGAGTGTGGAAAGTGATACAGTATTTCAACAGAAATAGAATTCTCCTTCTACAGGCCGTCGTCCTTCAGGGCCTCACAGGTACTTCTACTGGTCAACTTAATTTAATATCCAACTTATAAATTAGAATGCACTTAAACTTTGCAATTCCCAAAGCCCTTTTCCACAATGCACTGAATTGGCTTGGTTTGGCTTTAAATGGGCCACTCTCCTCTGGCCAACCAGCTTAGGGCAGCTCCGGGCTTTCACAGCAGAAGAGGTTGGACTGTGTGCACTAGACAGCACAAAAGCCGGGTTGGGCTTTAGTATGGCTTTAGCAGAGACCAGAGTTCTCACGGTGTTCTCTGGTGTGGTTCCAGCGGCTCATGGCCAACCTCATTCATGTGTGTCAGGGTCGAAGTAGGTGCCCTTGGGTTTTCAGTGGTGGATTATCTCAAAAGCAGGTCACCAGGCTTTTCTTCTGAGGCACCTCGGTGGCCCCGAACCACTATCATTCTATTGTTTTGTTCTTTTGGGCCTGTTTTGAATCATGCTATTCCCGACTTGGGCAAAATATCTGGAAAGAGCAGCAGAGGGAGGGGTTGGGAAGTTTTGACAGAGTGGTGTCAGTCATAGCCACGACAGTTGATTTGAAAAATTAAATGGCCTGGCCTTTCTCCCAAGGTACCTTTGGTGGCCTCAGACCAACCACATGCCTTTTTCTGTGGGTACCTGTCTTAGATCATCTCTTCCAGTGCTGAGCAAATGATGTGGAGAGAGAAAGGAGGTCGGGAATGGGGAGGTTTAGAGTGTGTCATTTCCTGGGGTGTCCATAATGTGCCAGGGTAAGCATATTCTCTGCAGTGCACAGGAAGCATCTACATGTCTATCAAGTGAGCTTTTTGAATGCTGGTAGGCAGTTAAGCTTCCTGAACGGCGGACAGGACACTCGCAGCATGCACTTGGAGAGGGAATAAACCAGTCGGGTGGGATGAGCCCTGCAACAGAATTTTGATACAGGAAATGCGGGAGCTGAGGAAATGTCGGCTAGTTGAAGGATGTCTTGATCTTCAGAGAGACTCGGTTTTTCTACACAGCCAGTCTTGAAGATCTTATATGGTGGCAGATGTAGAATTAAAAGAAAAATGTTTACACAAGAGTATTATCTATTTTAGCTACCAGTTTACATAACGTTCTCCTACCGTGATTCCTTCCTGTTGTTTTTCCCCTTTCGGTTTTCTGATTATACCTCTCCATTTTTATTTACAGAGCACCACCACAGACGCAGCCACTAACCGTGTGCTTTCTTTCAGGTACACGAACCTGGAAACCTTTGCCCTGGATGTCAGGCTTGTTTTTGACAACTGTGAAACGTTTAACGAAGATGATTCTGACATAGGCCGAGCCGGCCACAGCATGAGAAAGTATTTTGAAAAAAAATGGATAGATACTTTCAAAGTGAGCTGAAGTTAGAATAATCTCCCCCCACCCCTTTCTCCTTTTACACAAGGACAAATGAGACCAGCAATGTGAACTGTATTTACATAAACGTGCAAGGCACATACATAATGACTTTTTCCCCCTTAAAATAAGTATCACACACACACAAAAGTATCAGAAGAATGATACCATTTTTAAAGGCTTCACTCCTACAACAACCAAGGCCCTTGGTTATTGGTTTGTGTGATTTATCAGCTAATTTAGGTAGAACAGGGAAGCACGCCCAAAGGGTTTTCAAGGAAAGGGTGTTATAGTGCAATAGCAATTAAAATATATCAATCGCACTGAATATTCAACACCAGAGCTCTAACCTGGGAAATGGTTCTCCTTTCCCTCTCAATAAATATCTATTTTTCATTTTTTTACTTTGTAGTTTATTTTTTAGTGAATGTATTTAATTTTATGAATTATTTATGATTAAACCACATCCAGAATCTTCGTTTTCTGTGAAAAGGAAGAACTAGAAAAATTGCTTTAAATCTTGAAAATACAACAAGGAATGTTTTAAAATATAAAACAAAGCCAAGTTAAACTGTTTACACTGATGTGCTAAAAAAGCACCAAAAATAAACTTTACTGTAGAGTTACACGTACATTTATATATATATATGTTGCTGCATCACTTGTGTAGTTAAATTGTATTTCATGACAGTGAAGAAAAATTAACATGTATATACTGTTCATTATTGTTTATATTAAGTCTTGTTTTAAATATGTATTATGTGTATATATTGTTTGCAGACATTATTGTTTATGCCTTAGAAGGACTGTAGCATTTTATTTTAGTCTGAAGGTAATTATAGCTCTATAGCTTGTACAGTAATTATCCTCTACCGACACTGTGGCGTCTCCTTAATCTTGGTAGTGCCTGCCTTTGAAACAGGGTGTAGGGGATATTAGTTTTCCATTTTTTTCTATTTTGTTACATAATTTCAAGCCACCAGGGCCTAAATTAAAGTATAATCATTTGTATCCATGTGGAATAAAATTGTGACAATTTCCTACACACACAGTATTTTTTCATGGAAGCATTTCCCTCCCATTTGCCTTGCCGCAGAAATAAACGTACAAGACATTTGTAGCCACGGTGTTTATCTACTGTGTGTCGTGGTGGTCCCGTTGGAGGCAAATAGATCAGCCTTTTTTTTGTACCTATGTAAGAGTACTTGAAATTTTATTTAAAATAAAATGTTGTGGAAAAGGTAGCATTCTTTTTTTTAGGAGTGTTATTTTTCACTACTATGTGTGGCACGGATACAATAAAAGACTTTTACAAACTAGTGGTTCTTTTTTTTTTTTTTGAAGAAACAGAAGAAAGATGTTCTTTTCAAAATGGCAGTTGAATTAACTTTTATTTTTACTGAATCATAAAAGAGGGCAGCAGGCGAGGACTAAAGGACACGGGGCTGGGTGGAGGAGGGTAGATTTGCATCATTTGATGTAGCTTGGCTGGAACTTTCAAGGAGCTTGGCTGGCACGGCGGATTAAGCATTAGGCTGCTAACCAAGAGGTCAGTGGTTTGAACCCACCAGCCACTCTGAGGGAGCAAGATGAGGCAGTCTGCATCTATAACGATGGACCATCTAGGAAACCCCACAGGGCTGTTCTAATCTATCCTGTAGGGTCAAGGTGAGTTGGAACTAACCTGAGTTTTTTGGTTTTGATGTGGCTTTCGTGCATCTCTCAACCTCTGGTTGTTTTATTTCACATCCTTAATATGTAAATATTAAGATACATTTTTAAAGTCTCAGATTTGAGAAGTGTCTCTATTGGTAGTCACATACCCCAGTTATCATTAAGAAACATCGATCATATAAATCAGCCTAACTAATGAAACACATTTTCAAGCAATAAGATTTGACACTTTGCAGGGGCTCTCTGCTCGGCCCGGGGAAATCGTAAGTAACCAAGACTGCAGCCTAGTGTAGAACTGGTCCTTGAATAAAGAACACTGCTTGTAATAGTGAAGGGAGAATAGTGTAATTAGTTTGAAGAAAGTGTTTCTAACTTTAAAATGCTTCAGCGCCACCAAATATTTTCCAAAATCTCTAGCGTTGGTGAAGACTTACATGAAACTAAAATGCTACTGTGTGAATGTGTCTGTTTTTGTTAACTGAACATTGCAGTGCTGCCTTAAGTGGGCTGGTGCCTCATGAAAAATACCAGATGGAACAGGAAACAAGGTGATGCTATAAACAGGAGGTCTGGATTTTCTACTTAGAAGTTTCCAGACGTTCTCTGGTAATCCTTCCTTTCTTTGGGCTTTAGCCTTAGGAATGATACCCACTTTATGTTGACTCGTGGTAAGTGGTGTGGAAAGAAGGGTGTGGAGACTCAGGCCTGGCTCAAACTTAGAAAGGCTAACCTCGGGACCTCTAGCGCCCCCACAGGACAGTGTAGAACTGCCCCCTCTTGCTCCTGACAGATGGATAGATGAGAAACTGAAAACCTAAAACACACACGTACACATCCACAAAGCAGAAGAGTCTTCAACATGAGTAGTTTTCTTTTACATATAAAGAATCTCTGGAAAAGGAAGACTTGACTAAATATTGGCTACTTTGGAATGGCATTGTTGTCATTACCCTAACATTTAGGAAGAAGTGGACATGAATCTAAGGTCCCCAAAGGGCTGACATAGGACTCAGGAGCAATGGGAACTCAGGAACTATGTAAATGGCTAATACACTCACCTGTTCTTTTTTGGTGGAAAAATTCCGTCATCTTTTATTTTTTAAGACATTAATTGGGAGCTCATACATACATCACATACACCATAGTTCAATTGCCTCAAGCAGAATTGTACAGTTGCTACCGCAATCCGTTTCCAAACATTCTTTTTCTTCCTGGACTCCTTGACATCGTCTCCCTTTTACCCCTTTACCACCACTGTACCTCCTGCCCCCGAAGCCCTTATTCTACTTGCTGGCCCCATAAGTTCATCAGTCCTGGGTTTCATATACCGACAAATGGAAAAGCAGGTAACAGCTTCAAGAGGGTGACCTCTATTGACACAGCACCTCTGAGATACAGTCTCCTATGAACAAACAAAAACTGAACAAAATAGACCAAAAACACAGAAAATGTTGGAAATCAGATCAGGGCCATCCTGTATCATCGTGGGGGTCTACTGACAAAGTTTTAACTGTTCAGGTCAGATTTATGCCTTTGATCTATACTCATTTCTCTGTTTAGTAACCACTTTCCTCCCATCAATTGTGGACAGAGGGAGATCACTGGAGGCTCATTTCCTGTGTAGCTCCCACAAATGTATCTTGGGCTCTCACTGTCATCCATAGCCTTCTGCACATCGGGTTCTCACAATTTAGGCTCTGATACTGATCCCTCCTTCAATTTGGGGTGATACAATTTACAATCCTGCAGTGACTGATGATCGTATGCTTCTTCCATGTCGACATCTCAGATGGCTGCTTGTTTGGAGACAAGCCTTTATAACTGCAGGCGCCATTTTATCTGATAGCTGGACGCCATCCAATTTCTTTGCCACATTTTGCTATAGCACCCATATCTTCTGTGTTACCTTCCTGAGGGTGAGTATCCATCAGGGTCATGATGTAAGAACAAATTGTTCTTAAGTTGGAGCTAGGATTCAGTGCGAGCCCACAACCCATCTGGATCTATGTTTTTGGTTTTAATTATTAATTTGGGAGTTAATACATATATCATTCCATAGTTCAATCACATCAAGCAGAATTGCACAATTGCTTCTGCACTCACATGTTCTTAAGTTGGGTATACAAGGGGCTTTTGAAAAGTTCTTGGGAACATGGAATTAAAAGATGGAATTTTTCCACAAAAACTTTATGAAGCCTTATATTCTCAATAAGACCAATGCCATTGTAATCTCAAAATAATTTTTTAAAGTATATCACTGCTATCATATAACTAAGTATGCACAACATATTACCATTAAGAGAAATTAGGCTGTAACGTAGACTTCTCCTTTTAGTTCTAATCGCTCTATAAATGACAAAACTGACCTGCCTTCAAGTATAGATTTAAGTGATCAGTCAAATGGTGACCAAGAATAACCAGCCAAGCAGAACCCACTATTAAAGCAGGAAGATAATAGTTTGAAACAATACAGAGAGAGAAAACGAGTATTATTTCACTGTTAATCACAGTGAAAAGTAAACAGGTGAAATTTATTTATGATAGATCTTGAACTCAAAGGAGCTCTAGTGATGTAGTGGGTTACAGAGGTTTTTGTTCGATGAAAAGAAACCCATTCTAACAAGAAAGGTAATGTTTTAAGAGAACTGAAATTTTCTTTCCACCGTAATGTGACTCTTAGAGTAAAAACTGATCCTCAGCACCGGAACCATTCCTTCAGCAAACTCCCTTAGGCCTTGTTATCCTCTACTCCTGAATTCCTAGCACCTTCTCCACTTTGCTCCCCTTCCTACACAAATGCTGTCATATTGTCTTTCTAGCTCATCTTGTTTGGACTTAAGTGTATGCATATCTTTAAACATATACATTGTATGTGAAATATGAACATATGTATGTATATACGCAGCATGTTTTAAATTGCATTATGTTGTAAATCTCATTCTGGTTTTTCTGTTATTTTGAGTTGAGAAAATATGGAAGTCTAGATCATTCCTTTTTCTTGCTATAGGGGGCTCTGTCACACGCATAGTCCACATTTTATTTAGAAAGTTCTACAGAACAGACAACTCAGGTTGGTTGCCTCTTTACCACCACAACTAGCACTGCAATCAATCTTATCATAAATGTCTTCTGACCCAGGGGTAGACCCAGCCTCCAGTATGACCCACAAGGAACCCCTGCTACTCATGGCCTCGTAGTCTAAGCCCTTCCCACATTATCAGCGCTGGGATGTACGACCAAGTTACTATGACAGAGTGCTGGTATCTGGCTTCCAAAAATACATCGTGGAAACACTGCTGCTTCCACTTGTCCTCTTGGATTGCTTGCTCTGGGTAAAGCCAGCCAATGTGTTGGGAAGACACTCAGCGGCCCTCTGGAATGGCCAGTCGCCAGCACCAGCTTGCCAGTCCGTGACTGAGACAGCTTGGCAATGGATCCTTCAGCACAAATTGGACCTCTGATGACTGCAGCCCCAGCCAACAGCTTCACTGCAGCATCACGAGAGGCTTTGAGTCAGATCCACCCAGCTAGCCCAGTCCTGAATTCTTAACCCAGAGAAATTGTGAGTTAATAAACATTTGTTGTTGTTATTAAGCCATTAGGTTCCAAGTTAATGTCTTAAGGCATCAATAAATAACACGATGGCCAAAAGTTTCCCCAAGATCTGTACATAAGAGAGAAGCAGCAAGTTGTGAAAAATGAACACACCACGTGATGTTATCATGCTCCTCCCAGATGATGCGCCAGTTGACACCTCTACCGGTGTAGACAGGCGCCTCTCTCCCCCTGCTTCCCAACCAAACTGAAGTTTTTGTGTGGATTACTTGTTTGTCATTAAACGTATTATAGGTTTTTACTTTAATGCCATGTTTGGGACCATACAAATGGCATCTTCCACCAAAAATGAGAAAGCTAACCACCAACTGGGAGAAAATATTTGCAATAGATATGTCTGAAATGTTTGTATCCAAAACATATTAAACAAACAACAAACACTTAAAAAGCCTAATGCCACAAAAGGAGACATGTCAGTGAATGCATTAAAAGGATGCCTACTATCACTAGCATCAAATAAGTAACCTTTTTTAAAAAATGAGATATGACCACACACACACCAGAATGGCTGCAATTGAAAAGACTGACAATAAACCAAGGGTTGACCGTGATACGGGAGGGATTCAGACGCTTATAAATTACTAGTGGGAGTACAACATGGTACAACCATTTAAAACAACTAGCATGTTCTTAAAGATAAGCTTTTTATACCACTCGGCCATCCTAATCTTATGTATTACTCAAGATAGAGAAAAAAAAAAGCTTGGCAATTAAAAACCCAAAACCCAAACTCTGCCATCCAGTGAATTCTGACTCAGCTGCCCTCCAGGAGAGGGTGGAACTGCCCAGGGCTTGCCCAGGCCGCACCCGGGAGCAAGCAGCTGACGCCGTTTCAAATGGCTGACTCGTGGGGAGCATCCGGAACACAACCACCGGGTCTCCTAGAAATTAGAGAAGACCTGTTAATACATTACTCGGTGAGCAGATTGCAGCATACTGCATAGTGGAAAATCAGCACTAAAAGCTCACCACATCCTAACACAACCGCAAGGTTGAAATTGAGACGTAAAGTGATGAACAAGGAAACACA